CCTTTAATTTTCTCTCAGGTTTCAGTTTCGTATGTTTCCATTTAAAATGAACAAAAACGTATTTCTAATGCTGCTAATTTAATTCGTCTTTGTTCAATAGCAGATTTATGAAATTGTTTTCAAATTCCAATTCCCAGGTGGTTTGTGGAGACACTTTCCCCCCCTCAGACTTTGTGAACACCCCGACACAAGGGAGATGTTTGTCTACCTCTGTCCTCAGTTCCACCTCATGTCCAGGAGGACCCTCGGGAGGCAACTAGGTGAGCTGATGAAACAGGCCAAGCTGCAACTCGACATCCTGCTGCAGAAGCAGGCGTGGGTGGGAACCACTGCTGACAGCTGGTCGGTGTGCGGCAACCCTGGCGTGCAGGGAGCTGAAGGGAGAGAAATTAAAACAAATATTGTTATATTGATTTGAATGATATCACTTAGCCTCTTGTGTTTTTCCCAGGTCAGCCAGACAAAAAAGCCCCTGGGAGAAGTCATCCACGCTATCCACCAGGAGTTTGGCATTGCCAGTAAAGTGGTCGCTACCACCACAGACAATGGCGCAAACCATGTCGCGGCTTTCGATGCATTCGGCAAGCAGGAGGGGGTGGTGGCTCAGGAGCTTTGCGATGTCCAAGGGCAGCTTTCCGCCGAGGACATTGAAGCCAATCTCCGTATCACCCTGCCACCTTGCCGCCGCTGCTGGTGGTAAGAAATGGTAGAATTTGAGGATTTACATTTTACTTCATCAAGAACACTCAAATGAAGATGTCAAACGGTGTCCATACTAACAAATTGATGTTATGTGTATTTTATTCCAGCGTGCATACCATGAATCTCATAGTGACGGCTGACCTCAGCGAAGTCATGGGCTGTAGCCGCGGGAACACTCCCTGGCGCAAGCATTCGCCAAGGCCCAGTACCTCTGGAACGTCCAGAACCGGAACCCTATTGCTGCCAATCAGGTCAAGGCGGCCATCAAGTGGAAGCCGCTGACTCCTGCTGTCGTTAGTTCAGGTATTACCCAAGCTATGAATGATATTAATTCTCTTAAGGTTTTGAATTTGAATTTCTGTATTTATTTATTTTTTTGATGTGCGTTCTCTGAAGTTGGAGCTCCTACTTCAACAGTGTGAATGCGCTGCTGGAGGTGTTGTCTGTGCCTGAGCACGTGGAGGCAATCAACAACATCATTATTCACCAGCCCATGGGCGAGGAGGGAGCGGCGTTTGTGAATCAACACGTTATGAAAAAAAAAAATTGTATTGATTGAATTCATGGACGATGGGCAAAGGTCACAAAGCGAACAAGTTCCCGTCAAAACAGTCAATTTTGGCCACTGTGAGGATTAGTCGCCCGCGCGTCGAGTTTGCTTTTGAAATTCTCAGGTCCTGACAGAGTACAGGGTCGTCACGAATTCTGTGGCAGACACCCTGAACAGCCTACGGTGGGAGGACAACGCCTACATGGGCATCCTCCTCCCAAAGCTCCTGGTCTTGAAGAGGTCGCTGCTGCTCCTGCAGCAGATGGGTGAGCTGCAGTATGCAGAGCCCCTGTCACGTTTCGGACAAGCCGAATCAAGTTTGGAATCCCAAAAAGTGTAGACGCCAACAAGGTCTCTGTAGCAAAAATGTTTTAATATACAAAAATCGCACCGACAAAGTAGTAACATAAAGCGCTGGTCCAAACGGACCAGGGAGTACAAAAAACAATTAACGAAAAGCGCTTGCATAAAAGGCAAGGGGTGAAAACAAGAACCGAGAATACAAACGAAAAACCATGTATCAAAATACATGCAAGCAAAAGCCGAATCACAAAATAAAAACCATACTCACAAGATCAATAGTACGAGAGTTCAAAAGCGAAAAATGACAAGGTCTATAGCAAAAGGTCTATGAGCAAGGAAGCAGCAAGGCATAAACAATACTCCGACAACAGGTGCGCAGCAAGAGTCCTGAAATACCGAGTCTAATAATCATCGATTGGCAGCAGGTGTGCACCCAAAAGTCCGCTCATGCCACCTGCTGGCCAGACCGAAAACAGAACCGTGACAGCCCCTGGTCCAGTCCAGTGATCCTTCCCGATATTGCGCTTCATTTATCGTGTTTTTTCCAAAGTACTGTATTGAGAAAAAAATGCAGAATGACTCCGACGTTTTGTACATGTCTATATGCACGATTTGTTCCTGGCGTGACATCGACCAATGACAGCACGAGTGGATTTATTTATAATTGGCTCTGCATCTTCGCAGCCCCGCCCAGCACCTTCCCCTGTGTCTCCTGGTTTACTCTCTGATCAGTGTCTCATCAAATGGTTGCCTCTCTGATCAGTGTCTAGTCAGATGTGGACTCTCTGATCAGCGTCTCATCACATCGTTGCGTGTGTTACGACATCGGCTGCGCGAGGATAGCTGGCCAGAAGCTAGCTGGAGACTAACGGCGGCTACACTGTCAGAGCTGCGTAAAGGCTCGGAACACAAGTCTCTTTGTCTCTCTCAAAAGGCAATGCTGATGAATATTAATGACTGTATAAGGTTTCACAATTAAAGATGGAAATAAATATGTGTATTGTTGTCGTCTTAGTCTCAAATGTGTAAAGAATAATTACTGTTTACATATTTTAAACATGCTGGTATCCATGTACACTTACACAAAAATTCCTTGTGGGGGAGCCAACACTCCATCACGGTTTTTCACTTAGCCGGCAGTGTCCCGATCCCGATTAACTGTGATAAGTGAGGGAACACTCCATCGCGGTTTTTCACTTAGCCGGCAGGGTCCCGGTCCCCATTAACTGTGATACGCGAGGGAACACTGTAATATCTTCTCATACAGTATATAATACCGTTTGATAATATAGTGTGGGAGTCCGTGCGGATATATACCTCCCTCACCTTTTGAAACTGAGATTTCTTATTCATTTCTAGGTTTGGCTCCCTCTTTGAGGACCAAGACCTTCTCATGGCCTCTGCCTTGCATCCCTCCTTCACCCCCACCATCCCCTACCATCCTGGCGAAGATCGCTCCTGACCAAGGCAACGCCATCAGGGGCAGGATCGTCAGGGAGCTTCAGGCCACGGTGCTGGAGCGGCAACGGGAAGCCAAGGTCCAGCCTGGCGAACTGCGCTATCAGGACCGGGTTTTCCAGTATGGGTTCATTTTTTTACATATAAAATTTCAAAGGTCACTGTTGTCTGTTCTTCCAAATAGTTTTAACCCTTTCATGCACCCTGTAACCTGATAACATGGCAAGCTGTCCACCGTAGTAACCGTTGTCTCTGAAAGGGTGAAACCATTCTATGAACTATCAACTAATGATGCTTTCAGGGAGCTGTTTGGAGCCGACAAGCATGGGATAGCCCAGAATGTGGACGACATGGACAAGTTGCTGAAGACTAGCGTCCAAGATTGGAAGCCCAAGCAGGAACCGCTCTCCTGGGCCCTCTTCCCAAAGGAGCACAAGGAGGCGTGGGTGGACTTATTTAGGAAATACAATACCCCGCTCCCTAGCTCTGATGCTGTGGAAAGGGGTATTTTTTCAACAGCCGGCGACATTCTCCGGCCAAAGAGGACTGGCCTGGTCAGTCCAATCTTTGACAAGCTGGTCTTCTTCAAGGGGAACATGTCCCTATTGGGGTACTGTCAACAAGGGGCAGTTTGAGGAGGAGAAGCAGCGGGGCACCAAACAAGGAAAAGAATAAATCATGAAGTATTTTTTTGTATTTTGTTTCACAATAAATGTGGGGTTTTTTTCCTGCCGATCATGAAATAGTGGTGATTCGAATAGGGATTTTAGTGAGCGTGGAAATGCATCCATAGAATTCAAATATTTGAATTATAACTCCCAGAGCAGAATGAAATCTTGTAATGCAATTGCGTGTGCTGGCTCTTTCACTGACAGTTCAGCTCTGCTCACTGTGGGGGACGAGTGCATATATTACGTGTGGTGGCAAGTACTTTGTCAAACTGTTAACCTAAAAGTGGGTGCCCATAATGTATGTGATGGTGACTAGGAAATTTGCCAGCTTCAAAAAAATGCTGATGAATTATGAAACTAAAAATACATTTGAAAATAAGACTGATTCAGAATGTAAGAAAGAACTCAATCTGAGCGAAATGTTCTGTTGTATTTTTTTTAATCAATGAATAATGAAATGTGCCATGGAGATATTCATTTTGCAGTTTATTCAATTCTTCAATTCAGAATATACAGAAATTACCGATTATATTTTCATAACACAAGAGTTGTAGTACAAGCGGGTAGTCCCCATCTATGTGTGATGAGACTTTTGAGACCTAACGATGTACATTCATGAATGTATTGAGTATTGATACACAATCTCCACTAAAATCTTTTTTTTTTTCAAAAAATAAGTGTTGTAATATAACCGGATGGCGATCTATGTGTCTAACTATTGAAGAAAAATGACAATTAATAATGAGTGATTTATAGATTTTTAATCATTCCTTTTCTTTTCGTGGTTGTGTCACGTCGCGTACAAGGCAGGGAATAGAACTGTTTCGTACGCAACAGTGCGAACGAGAATAAGTGGATCCCGAAGTAGCAGACACTGACAAGGCTATTGTCTCAAAATAATATTTATTACAAACGAAAAAAACTCCGTCTCATGGAAAACAGAAAACGCTGGTCAAAAACGAGAACCAGGATATAATGAAACGCGAAAAACAAAACGCTTGCGAAAAAACGGCAAGGAAAAGGGATAAGACAATTTACTAGGTTACGTATATTTTCAGAATAATCCCCAATGGGATGACGAACGTGTAGCAAACAACAATAGAATATGGTTTACGAGCATGGGCAATAACAGTGGCACGGCAAGCAATACTCCGGCAATGAGACGAAAGCCAGAGTGCTTAGATATAGCAGGTGAAATCATAGACAAATGGACAGCAGGTGTGCAGGCAGCAGAATGAACGCCTGCCACCTGCTGCCAAATACGGAATATGACAGTACCCCCCCTCAACGGACGCCTCCCTGCGGCCCACCCGGTTTGGACGGGTGAGAAGCGTGGAAATCCCGCAGAAGGGACGGATCCAAGTTCCAGGAGCGGGGGACCCATTGCCGATCCTCCGGCCCGTAGCCCTCCCAGTCGGAGAGGGAGCCAAGGGACTGGTCGCCACCGGCTTGATCAGGGAGACGTGGAACACGGGGTGAACCTTCATGGTAGCAGGCAACCGGAGCTTGACCGCGACGGGGCTGATGATGGAGTCCACCAAGAACGGTCCAGTGAAACACGGCCCCAACTTGGCAGATGTGCCGGCCAAGCGCAGGTCCCTGGTAGCCAGCCACACCTCCTGCCCCACCTCATAGGTCGGAGCAGGGCGCCGACGACGGTCCGCGATCTGCCCGTTTCTGGAAGCCGTGCGAGATAACGCGGCCCTGGTCTCCCTCCACACATGATGGGCCCGCTTGAGGTGGCACTGCACTGATGGAACCTCAATCTGCCCCTCCTGGGACGGGAACAGCGGTGGTTGATAACCGTAGGCCGTCATGAAAGGAGAGCGCCCCGTGGCCGAAGAGACGAGGGTGTTGTGTGCATACTCCACCCACAGTAAGTGGTCAAACCAGGACGAGGGGCGGTGGAGACACACACAACGAAGAGCTGCCCCCAGATCTTGGTTAGCGCGCTCCGCCTGCCCATTGGACTGTGGGTGGTATCCCGACGTCAAACTCGCAGTGGCCCCCAGGGACCGGCAGAACCGCTTCCACACTCTGGACACGAACTGGGGCCCCCGGTCGGAAACAATGTCCAGAGGAATGCCATGAATACGGAATCATGGAGGCGGAACACATGCTCGACGAGGAGGTTGGCGGTCTCCAACGCCGACGGCAATTTGGTCAGCGGGATGAAGTGGGCTGATTTTGAGAAGCGGTCCACCACGGTAAGAACGACGGACCGCCCACGGGATGGAGGAAGACCAGTGACAAAATCCACTGAGATGTGGGACCAGGGTCGAGGAGGAATGGGTAG